TGGCAGGGGGGTTGGAACTGGATGATCTTTGAGGTCCCTTCCAACCCAAACCATTCCATGATCTCTGAGCTCCGTGATGTGCTGTTACCTTTGCTCCCCGTACCTTGGAGCGTTACCACCAGTGCTTGAAGGTTTCACCCTGCAGTTTGCCTTTTCCTTCCTGTCCCTTCGTCCCGGCTTTCACTGTTTCTGCTCTCCCCTCGTGGCTGCTGGTCCAGCACGGTGCAGTTCCTGTTGTGACACTCTGCTCCCCACGCATGCAGTCTCCCTCTCTTGGCTTTGTGAGCTCCTTTTTGCGTCTTTTTTCCTGCCCTTTTTGTAGTTTCTCTCAGCTTTGCCTTCCTCTTTCTGCAGTCTCCCTGTAATACACCTTGATTCTCCTCCCCATCTTCTACTGGGGCCTTTTGATGTTTCCAGAGCCGTTCTTCCAGCCGCTGAATTGTCAGCGTGGAACTGTCACCCCTCTCTGCTGCAGTCCCCGGCGAGCAGAACGCCAAGTCTGAGGTTCTCTTCTCCTCCTTTTCTTTGTTGCATTTAGTGCTGCTTTGGATGTGGAGCTGTCGGATGATTCTTTCCCCCCGGAAGATTTTGGCATTGTCTCTGGGATGCTCAACGTCAAGTGGGACAGGATCGCTCCGTATCTTTTAATGTTTGAAACTTCTCCCAACAATCCCTCCTACCCCTAAGCCCCCTGTAGCTTTCCTGGCTCCTTTTCTTGTCGCTGACGTTGGCATGCCGGGCCCTGGGCGGGGTGCTGGCTGCAAACCTCTGTTCTCCATGAGGGTGCTGTGTCCAAAACGGTTCCTTGCAGAGAGGGCCAGGTCCCCGTGCAGTTCATCTGCCCGGGAAGGAGGAACGGATGGGTCTGGAGGTCTGTGACCAGAGTGCTCTGATCTGTCATCAGGAGTGACTTTTCCTCTTGGTTGGAGGCTGCTCTTTTACCTGTTCTCTTCGTTTTTCTTCCGTTGATAAAATGCAACTATTTGCCTGAACTTACGGCTCCCAGAGCCAGTAACGTGTCCCACACGGTGGTTCTGCGGCCTCTCAAAGCTGGTTACTTCAACTTCACCTCTGCCACCATCACGTACCTGGCACAGGAGGGCGGACAGGTTGTGGTGAGTCGACTATTTGTAGGATCCTTTCCCAAACTGGACATCAGATACGCCTGACTGTACCTTTGGGCTGCTCGTCAGGTGATGATGCACGTCCCTGCGCTCGCACACCGCACCGGCTCTGTGGCGAGAAGGAAAGGTGGCAAATACTATCTTTTTTTTTTCCCCCTCTTACTTTTTCCAGGTTGGTTTCACTAGTGCTCCTGGGCAGGGAGGAATCTTGGCTCAGCGTGAGTTCGACAGGAGGTTCTCCCCTCACTTTGTAAGTACCTTCCAGTCGGTAATGGAAACTGCCCTGCAGCAACTGTGCAGCCCAGCACAGAGGCTTTTTGCCAGTTTGCGGTGTGTTTGGTTTGTCCTATGGTCACCTGGAAAACTCAACATGGATGGCAATTAACCTGATCAGTTGTCTGGAAGAGTGTCACAGAAAAAGCAGAGTTTTCATCCCAGCCGCCTCTGTGAAGGAGCTGGCACTGTGGGATTTGAGCCAGAAGCTTTGAGAGCAGAAGATCTGATGGTTGTGAGACTCATGTGTACATGACTTGGATTGACTTTCTTTCTAACAATTTCTCCTTCTAGCTGGACTGGGCAGCTTTTGGTGTGATGACCCTGCCCTCCATCGGGATCCCGCTGCTGCTGTGGTACTCGAGCAAGAGGAAGTATGACACCCCTAAGACCAAAAAGAACTGAGCAAAGTCAAATGCCACCAACACCCCAGAGCTCAGGAAAGAACAACCAACCCACCCAGAATGGCAGGTGTGTTGGCATCAGCAGCAGTCACCCCAGCAAAGCGCCGCCTGGGCGGTGCTTCCAGAGGGAATCCATCGCTTCCATGGCAGTGATGCGTTGTCTTCTATCCCAAACCCCCGTGTCTGCGTGTTTGGAGCAGAGACCTCCCACTCCGTTGCAGATCCAGTGCCATCTGGAGTTAACACATCGTGACACGGATGTGTCGACGCTCGGAGATGCTGGTTTGGGGCGTGCAGCTCTGCAGCGTCTCCGACATCCGTGCTGCCTCCCCGACTCCATGCAGCCCAACGGCTCTTTGCCTCCTGCCATCTTCTCAAACGTGGGAGATCTCAGGGTCTCCCTCCTCCAAGCGCTGCCCGCCTGGCTGGAACATCCGTGGGCAGGAGCAGTTTGGTGACAAGACACCTCCTTTCGGTAGGGGCTCGTGAGCGCTGCTGCTGTGCGAGGTGAGGCGCAGGAGGTCCCTGTCAGTGTTTGTTCTCCAAGAAGCCCCGTTGCGTTTTGGCGAGCAGTTAATTGCTGTGTTGCTGTTCTTTCTGGTTGCTCGGTTGAGGGGTGCTGAGGATTTTGTAATAAAACGATCGCCGTGAAACAAGCTTGCCTTTCTTTTACCGGGAGTCCTGGTGGCGCCTGGCTGCCTTCCGAAGCAGCTAATGGGTATATAGTCAGTTTAAATGGCTTTAAACTGGAAGAGGGGAGATTTCGATGGGATCTAAGGAAGAAATTCTTCACCATGAGGGTGGTGAGGCACTGGCACAGGTTGCCCAGAGAAGCTGTGGCTGCCCCATCCCTGGAAGTGTTCAAGGCCAGGTTGGATGGGGCTTTGGGCAACCTGGTGTGGTGGAGGGTGTCCCTGCCCATGGCAGGGGGGTTGGAACTGGATGATCTTGAAGGTCCCTTCCAGCCCAAACTGTTCCCTGATTCTATGGCAACTACATCATAGTTTTCCAGCTGCACAATGGCTTTCAGCTCCTCCTGTTAGTTGCCCATGCTGCGTGCATTGCCGTAGGTGCACTTCAGTTGGGCTATTGATTCCACCACCTTGTCGGGAGGAGAAGTCCTTGTACTTACATGACCATTCTCAGGCACTGCGAGGTTTCTGGCACGTCAATAACCCTTGTGTCCGTGCTGCCGCATGGATCTCCATCCCCTACCTCCACTGAGACGGCAGGCTGAAGGAGCTCGCAGGGGTACCACGTCTCAGGCATTGGCTTACCTCCGGCGAGCCCGGCTTTACCCCTTCCCCAGTCAAATCCAGTTCAAAGCTCTTCCAGTGAGCCCTGCTGACACTGTGCAGACCCTTTTCCCCCTTTGAGACAGGTGTACTCCGTCTGTTGCCAGCAGGCCTGGTGGTGTGTACACTGACCCCTGATCAAAAACCCCAAAATTCTGCTGGTGACACCAGGCTCGGAGCTGGGTATCCATCTGCTGGCTCTTCTGTTTCTTCCCTCATCATTCCCTGCAACTGGAAGGACAGAGGAGAACACTCCTTGTGCTCCTCATCCCTTAACCAGTCGTCCCAAGGCCCTGACATCTCTCTTCATTGCCCTTGGACTTCTTGTTGCAACTTCATTGCTGCCTACCTGGAAAATCAATAATGGATAATAATCCGAGGGCCGTACCAGAGTAGGAAGTTTTCTCTTCCCATCTTTAACCTGGGTCCCAGGGACTGGAGTCCCTAAGAGGTGGCTCCAATCTGTTCCCTTCCGTAGGGAGTCTCCTCTGACGACGACCCATCTTTTTTTTCTTTATGGAAGTGGTGTTGACGCAGGGCGTAGGACAACTTCACCTCCGTGGCACCTCCAAGCTGGATGAACCATCGTCCTCGTTGTTGTGCGGTTCCACTTGCTCATCCCTGTTCCGCAGGGTCCCTGGGAAGGTGGGGCAGGCAAAGAGGAGACAAAGCCTGTTGCACCAGGTGGGAACTTGTCACCACGTTCAGCCAGGTGGAGAGAGGACGGAGAATCCTCCATATCGTGCGTCCTGTCTGCCCGTTGGGCCTGTCCGAGGGACGGTGGAGTGCGATTCCGGTAGTCTGCGTCTCTCTTGCATTCCCTCAACCTACTCAGCTCCTCCTGGAGCTCTGCCACTAAGCGGAGGAGTTTCTCCACCTGGGCACACCTCCAGGGTGTGCTCCCTGCTGCTGTCAGTACCAGCTAAGAGCAGGGCACACCCTGATGCCCGGCACCTGGGTGGCATCGTCTTCCCACCGGAGCTCTGTCTAGGAAGCTGCATCAGTCGTGGTGGGTGCAGAGCTTGGAGAGGCTGTGGCTTTCTGCCAGGGGGACACCATTGATTGCTCCCTGGTCGAGCTGGCAGAGCGGCAGCGCCCTTCCTGCGCGCCCTTCCGTGCCAACTGCCACACCACACCCTCGCTGACACACCATGTCCACTTTGCCCTGTTCGCACCTCTCCCCAAGGGGATGGGGGGCTTGTCCACCTCGCTCCTGGCCCTGTCCAGGACTCATCCGCCACCACCGTGCCAGCTGTGGGCTCCTGGCTCTCAGCTCCACCCGAGATTCCCCCAGTTCAGGAAAGCTCCCCGTGCAGCACGCTGGAGCGCTCCGCTGCGGATTGCACCAGCGCCGCGGCCACTCGCCTCGGTGGCTGAGAATGAATGAAGTGAAGGAAAGGAACAGTGGAAAACATGGGAAGCGGTGGAAGATGAAGATGGAATATGGACACCAGGAGGGAAAACCTGTCTGGTTTACCAAAGAAATACCTGATGACTGTAACTAGACGGTTCTGTGACAACACTCGTGGAGGAACGGGAGCAGTGGCGCATCAAGCGCAGCGAGTACAGGTGGCACCGGGTGTCTGTGCAGCCACGAAAAGAATTACGAATTCCTGCCCTGCCTGTCAGAAGTTCTCAGATGTAAAACCTGTGCGTGGATCGGGAAGTCAATCGTGGGCTTTTTTCCCGTTCCAAAGGCTGCAAGCGGACGATGTCGGTGTGCCTGCAGCACGCAAACGGAAACGTTTCGTAGTGAGAGCAGAGCGTCTATCAGGATGAGTAGAGGCTTTCCCAAAAGGAAAGCAGACGCTGGAGGAGCAATAAACGCTCTCCTTACAGAAATTATTCATAGGTACGAAGTGTGGGAATGCATTGACTCAGAGAAATAACTGACCCACTTCGTAAGAGTTTAGGGATAGAAAAAACGTTGCACACTCGGATCAGCCTCGAGCATCCCGGCAAGTAGAACGCAGCGGACTATCAAGGAGAGAATGGCTGAATTTGCACACATACAGGGTTAAAACGGCCAGAAGCGTTAAATTTAGCTTTATGAGGCATTCGGAACGCCCCAAGGCAACCCCTAGGACTGTCGCCTGCCAAAGTTCTTTTTGGGAGACACTTAACTGTACTGGGGACTTACATCCCAGCCAAAACCAGCCTCTGGAGAGGAGTGTTTGACACACGGTGTTCTAAGTTTACAAGAAAGTTTCAAGATTTAAAGGCGTCATGCTCAGCGGCACCAACCAACCACTCCAGAGATACAGGTACCGATTTGCAGCCCGGGGATGGAGGTTTAACGAAAGTAAATTCCCAGTTGTATGAGAAGAATGAACCAGTAAACAAATCAAACCAATAAAAAGCGAGAAGACCCCAGACCTTAATGTTACTGTTGCTCCGAACTGTTGCGTGAGGGGTGGGGAACTGGGATGGGAAAACTGCCCAGGGATTTCTTTGTTCAGAGTCCCTCTTTGGAGGCACGCAGCTGGAGCTGCAGCGCTCTCAATAAAAAGAACTTTACAGCAGAATCTCTTTTTCAGTTTATTGATTCAGCAGAAGCCCAGAGCTGAACTCTAGTAACAGGCACACCAAATTTCCCGAACAGAAGGGAAGGTGAGGGCCACCAGCCCCTTTCCAGCCCGGCCACCTCTGCGTGGGACCCTGCACTATCATCCGTCCTTCTGGCTCCTGGGCTCTGGCGAGGTTGAGTCGTCGGTGTGCGAGCAATGGTGGAGCCTTGGTGTTGGTGATGCCAAGGGCTGCCAAGGGAAGGTGAAGGCCAGCAACAGCTTTCTCCACATCCCTACCCTAAGTGCCCCAGTGTGCCCTAAGTGCCCTGGCCAGTAGGGAATGTCTTCAATTGTCCTATTGCGACGTGAAAGACAACCAACGAGGAGAAGAACGCTCGTCGTATTCTCAATATCCAGTAGGGGAGAACGGCAAAGTTGACAATCCAAACAACGTTGCTAAACGTGGTGATACAGAGATTTTTTATCTCTTCTCTGCTAAATGTGGTAATCTTAGCTGTGCCCGTAGCACAGCAGAACAGAAAACTGTGAGTATACATGATTTAAGTAGACTCTTAAATGTCACTTACTAAAAAACGGGTACCTGAGCTTTAGGAATTGAGATGTATTCCTTTTTCTGAAAGAATCAGAACACTTGCCATGAAAGGCAAAGCAACAAGACATGAAGTGTCACAAAACCCCATGTATTTTACAGGCACGTAGCTAAAAATGCAGTTTACCTCAAACAGCAATTGAAACAATCTTCATATGAAGATGGAACTTTGCAGTAATTATTCACCTTGTAGGTTGATTCTTGTATCCAGACTTTTATGGCTGCGTGGTGGTTTAGGCTGGTCAGCAACTGAACACCACACGGCTGCTCGCTCCCCCATCCCTGGAGGTGTTCCAGGCCAGGCTGGATGGGGCTTGGAGCAACCTGGTGTAGTGGAGGGTGTCCCTGCCCATGGCAGGGGGGTTGGAACCGGATGATTTTGAAGGCCCCTTCCAACCCAAACCATTCCAGGATTCTATGAAGACAGGAACTCTTCAAAATACTCGTTAGAAAAATGTGTTCTTCTCAGATTCTGCAAATTGACAGAGATCAGTGAAAACGTGTCCTCTTCCAAGAAAAACCTGATGAACGTTCCACAAACACTCAGAGAATTGTGCATTTCCATGGAGGTTTGTAACACAATAAGAAAATTGATATGGAGGAAACGTGACTAGAAATGTGTGCGAGAGAGAGACCGAGGGAACACCGGATAACACCACAGCAAGGGTTAATTTCCCTCTCTCTTTCCTTCCCTTATTAGCACTAAATAT